ATTCGTTGTGACTCGAAACATACACAGAGACTGCATTCAATAACGATGTCGAAATTCTCTTCGAAATATGCTTGCTAACCGCGGCAAGTGCGCACCGGGCAGTCACTCGCCTTGAATCCGAGAGCTAAGGCTTCGAACCCATGCGGGGTGTACATTTTTCACATCCATTCTTTTGTAAAACCCGCTACTCCTTATGGGCTGCGGGCAGCTTTGCGAGGTTGCTTCGGGAAGCCTCTTCAACGGTCCCGATCCGCAAGCGAACGGATTAGTTCCTCGGTCTGGAATCCGAGGTGGTGACAATGCAGCTTCTTCGCCAAAATCGATCCAGCTTCATAATCCATCCATTTTTTTCAAATATCTTCATCCGTTACCGTACATACATCAAAATATTTCGGAAAGCCGGAATATGCGAAATGATGCACAACTCCTCCAAGACCAAATTTTAGCAGCTTATTGCACCGTCCGGGCATTTCCGTTTAGGCAGGCCAGAGCTCCATAGCATCTAAGCGTCTGCAAAGGCAAATTGGAACCATGGCCTGCTTCCACAGTCCCCTTGGGCAACAAGTACCAAGGCGTGGGGAAATACTCGCTGAAATCATGTTTTGGAAGAGTTATGCTTATTGAGCATACTCTAGTGTATGAAAATATTTTGACACTTATGCGATGGCATATACAATAACATATTAAGAGCACCATCTCCCATTACATCGTTTGTTATAAGCGCGAAGTGGCCCTAGCGAACAAAATAATGAAAGGTGTATCTGGCACTGCAGGCTCTCAAATACCATTGTGACCTGCTTAAATGTTCCTCTAGGCATCGATGCATTACGTCGTAAAATCTGGTATTGGAGGAGTTATGCCTCGTGTTCATATGTTAATGTCTTCACCGAAAGTTAAATAGTAATAGTGTAAATAACCATAGAAATGAAGGAAATATTATACTGCCTAAAAATGTTTACCAATTTTTGAACAATCATTAAAACTTGATTATGGCATCAGTTTTTCATTTGGGAAATGATCATTCCTTTTGGAATGTCATGAATAGAAGCACAACGCATAAACTCTTTGCTTATAAACATTCTGTATGACACACTGGCCTTCTGGACAAAACTTAGCCTGTCTTCAGAGCTATGACATATTTGCACGGATCTATTTTATGTGTATTATGTTGACCTGTGAAATTGGTGGTACCACGCTCGTCATTGCTTCTAAATTACCATTTGATGGTTTTGATACATGCGTCACTAACATCTGCATCATGGGCAGGTTTGTAACGCTTGCTTGATTTTCCGGGTCTGATTGTTCCTCCCATCGATGCCTTTCATTTTTCTCGAAACAT